CTTCAGAGTCAGTAAGGTATAGAGACGCTCAGTTCTGATTGGAATTTGTCCTCTGCTGGATGCTGGTCCTCCAGGAGCAGGACGGATGGCCTTGTTAAAAGGTGTTACAGATAAAATCATGTCTATGCCCTACAACTGTCTGCAATAATCACACAATAATTAATTTATAAAATGAATTCATTATTATGCAAGACTGTACATAAAGTGTAACCATGGTAACTGTAATTTAGTGAAGTCACCTGCATTACAGCTGAAAAGTGACGATCGAGTCTCTCTCCATAGCTTACGATGCATTTTTATACTCTAAACAGTCCAGAACTAAATCTACAATGACTTTCCCTATCTATATACATTTATGTATAAAATGGGTTGCATTTATAGGTAGCATTTATGGTAGAATTCTTAACACCCCAAACCAGATCTCACTATATTTTTAACCCTGGTTTCAGCCCCGTTTATCATGCTTTTGGGACACGTGGCCATGGAGCGTTTACTATCTCACACTCTCCCACAGGTTCTTTGTGGGGACATCCAGTACACTAAATGAATACAGTGACAAGTTATTTAAATGAATACATTGCACAGTTATTTATTATTTATTTATTATTCTTTACAGGATATATATATATATATATATATATATATATATATAAGGGATAATCAACAGCTTGCCGTGCATTAAAGGATTTTAAATGCAGGACGTGGAGGCCAAGAACCACCTTACGCGAATGTTAGTGCATCAATTAAAGCAGCACATTAATATGGAACGGCGATTAAACTGACTTGGAACTACCTGTGCATTAAACGGTTTTAATGCATACCTGCCAGCCAATAAGAATCCAGTATTCAGACAGACCATGGAATATACAGTGCACAGCATAAATGAGTACACCCCCTCTAAAACTTAACAAATTCAGCAATAAAGAAGAATGCCAAAATTATTCAGCAAATTAAGATTTTCTTATCAAAGTGATACAATTTTGTGTTGCAAAAATGAGTACACCCTCCTGAAAGATACTAACTAAAAAAAAGAATATGTCATATAATATGACAATGAATATATTCATTCTCCCAAGGTAAAAATCCTTCAGTGGACATGCATTTCACTCAATCTTAACGCTCTTGAGCTGCTGTGAGAGATTCTGTAGAGACGAGCTGAGCAACACTCCCCATTAAAGACCAGAGCATTCAAGGAGGTCGTCCTCCAGGAGTTAAACAGCACAGATGTGAAAATTTGTCATGAACTTGTACACTCAGTGAGGTGTACTCATTTCTGCAATCCTTCATTTAAACAAAATTGTCTGATTTACTTATCTTACAGAAAATATTGGCATATATTTTGTTGTTTTTATTAAGTATATGT